ATATAAAACAGTTAAAGTAAATAAGAAATTCATAACGAGTGAAGGGGGTGGGGGGGCAATATTTCTTTTCAGAGGTGGCCATTGCCCCGTCTTGGTTAAGCCCCTGGTAATCACATATTGTAATACAAAAAAAATAAAATAAACAAGACAATTTTATGTTAATTGTACACTGTATAATATTGCTCTGCCATAGTTTTTGCCCTCTGCTTGACCACCATTTCAATAAACCCTTCATGTTTTATTATGATATTGAATAAAATAGTCATTAAAAGGCAGATGCAGGTCTTTCTAACACTGGGCATTCCCATGATGGCGTGTGGGCTCAACTGTAATGTGTGTAATGTGAGGGCTTCCCACCATTTGACTTGACATTCATGACAAAAGCATGATTCACAACACATGCATATAAAACATCCCACAAACTTTTTTTTTTTTTTGTTAGTGACGAACATCCTGTACAGTCCCAGTCCTCCTCACAGCTCAGCTCACCAATAAAAAAAAGCGATTATTCTGACAGGAAGCTGTTATTAAAAAAAAGAGACGAGAGAGAATTAGATGACAGGACACAAAGGGGGCACACAGTGACAGGGTGGTCGCGCCAGATAAGAGAGGAAGAGCATGATAAGTGCAAATGCAATTTACTTTGTGTAACGCCTACAGCTCAAGGACGGACGAGGAAAGCAAACACAGGCGAGACTGAAGAGGAGGAGGAGGAGGGGGGCTCGGTTTGAAGAGAAAGGGCTACGGGGAAGCTACACCGACGTGAACCGCGGATACATTTTTCGGAAAACCATGGCTTGAACACGGAGGAGTCCGTCCGCGCTGGTAAAACTGCAGCAGGAAGGAAGAAACACATAATAAAAAAAAAAGGCCTCGCGCCCATGGAGCTCCGAGCTCTTTAAACCAACACGAGACCTCCCTGACAGGCAGCGAGCAGGAGAAGGGTGAGGTGTATACATATGCGCCTTTCAGCATTCCTTTCGCAATAATTAAAAAAAAAAAAAAAGGTCACGCTAATGTTTCCAAATCTCGGAATTTCCTTTCTGTAACTGCTGCGGAGAAAGGCTCTGTGGCTATAAATACACGGCGGAGCAGCTGTGTTTGTTCCACTCCTTCAGTTTGTCTCTTTTTTTCTGTTCAACAGGACACTTTATTCACAGTTGAAGGAATTAATGGGATCACAAGGTATCCTTTTGTTTTAAATATGTGCCTCTCTCCAGTTAGCTGTCAGGGTTTATAT